TATCATGATGGGTCTCAATATATACTCTGGAGGTAAGTTCAATTACATAAACTAATATCTTTTTCTCTGTTACAGGTTCATTTCAAGGTGGCTCTCAAAATCGACATCAATATGAATTCCGATATGTTTTCAGAAGTAAGTTAAATTCTATAAGCGAATATTTCTTCTGTTTTGATATAGATTCAAATCAATATGAATATCAACATGAACATGAATATTGAAATCAATTTCAAATATGGAAGTAAGTTGAATTCTAGAAACTAACATTTCTTCTTTATGTTGTAGATTCAAATGAACATCAATAACAACATGGACATTAATATGAACATGAATATCAAGTTTGAAAATAAGTTGCATTTTATAAACAAAAATTTCTTTGTTTTCTGATAGACTCAAATCAACGTCGATATCAATATGAATGTCAATTTGAAGTCTGGAAGTAAGTTGAATGTTATAAACCATTATTCATCGATTTTCTGTATAGGTTGGTGTCAATATGGATTCCGATATGGATCTGAATGTGCATTCAAAAAGTGAGTTGATTTATAAAATCATTCGGTTTTTTTTGTAGGAGTTCTCAGTTGGAAGGTTAGAGTAAGTTTTCTTGTATAACTAATAATTTGTTGTTTTTGTTATAGGGTGATATGCTGGTGAAAATAAGGTTTTGAGCCAAGGGGGTTATGTTATGAACTGAAGAGGTATGAACCAAAGTGGCTTTGTTAATGGATTAGTGGCATTCCTTGGTTTTTGATTAAGTGAGTAAGGCTGAGTAACAGGGTCTGGCTAAAATGGTGGGATCGCATTGTAGCCGGACAGTTCGGTAGGAATTTATGGTTGTCGAACCTAGTTCTTGATTATGAGGAAGGAGTAGTACGAAACTGTTGATACGGAACCTCTTATGTGGTGATCGAGAAAACGTTTTTTACCGCACTAGAAACGCAGTGGATGCAAAAAAGGTTTTGGAGCTATGGTTCGGTATGAAGCCTTTCAGGTGATGTGTTGAAAAGATTCGGTCCTAAGAGTTTTACACGAAACCTTTATTTAGATTGATTGAAGAAGGTTTTGTACGGAACCTGCTTCGGGAAATCTTGTTTTTGGCTCTACTCAGCGAAGTTTCTACACGAAACCTTTTTTGTACGAAACCAAAAAAGAATCTTTCCGTGCACCGGCAGAATGAACCTTTTTTGATTTGGTGAAAATCCTTTTTTTTTTAGAGTGAACATGACAGTCATTGGTAAGCAAATGTGTCATAGCTACATTGTAAAAGAGTCAAGGGTAAGTTGGATATGGGCGTGGAAGTGCTGAGAAAGGTGCAACGTTGACAATAAGATACCCAAACACCCGTATCCAAGTTCTTCAAGTGCTTCGATCGGAAATTCAGCTGTAAAAGTGTTTCTTTTAATAAGTAGTACTCATTAGTAGCACATTCATTCTCTAAACTACAATAAAAGAAAAGTTTTAGCATAGAAACTTGCACGGAATGGTAGTTAGATTTATAATAGTGCCTAATAATAGATTTCCTTACGACTATTCTGTTAAGATTTTCAAACCCAATCATGTTTTCTGAAAATACTTTTTATAGAAGCTCAATCCATATTCAAGAATATGGAGGAAAGAGGTTCAGGCTGCTAGAACCTTTCCTTCTTTTCTTTAACTACTCTTATAAGTATGGGCTAGGTGTGAGTCTGTATGTAGTTGTGATGTATGCTTGCGTGTGAGTGTAACTGTGGGTGTGGGTGTGAGTATTAATATTGATGTCTACCACACCCGCAAACCGTCAGCCACACGCCAATACATCGGACGCAGATCCCACACAAACACTCATACCCATGCCTGACACTAACACTCACATCTACATCCATATCCACACCCATATCCCATCCTCGCACCCACACCCACCCATACTCTTAATTATGCTATTTTTTCCAGATTTATTTGAGAGAAAATCTTTGCACACGATTATTATAATGATCGACAACATATAAATTGCCATGAAAATCGAATGATAAGCCCCCAAGTTCATTAAATTGATTGGCTTCGGATCCCTGATAATTTCCACCGACAATAGCAACGCCGTCTTTTGCTCCATGACGGTAACACATTACTCGATGGTTCATCGAATCTGCCACGTAGAGGTTACCAGAGGCATCGACAAAAATCCCCCGAGGATTCGACAACTGCCTGGGAGCATTGCCTTCGCCTTGACCTCCAGCGACAATAATTCCTTCTTTTGCACCTGTACTCCATTTGATCACACGATGATTGTCCTTATCTGACACGTAGACATTATGTTGTCGATCGACAAAGAGATAAGTCGGAAAGTTGAGCTGATTGAGCCCAGCCCCTTTTCCATTGCCACCTGCTACAATAGTCCCAGTTTTATTTCCTATTTGGTACCGTCTTACTTCATGATTTTTGTAGTCAGAGATGTACAGGTATTTCTGATCATCCATAGCTAATCCTCGGCAAGTGATGTTGTCAATAAGAATTTCTATTTGACTTATTTCACTCCGACGAAGCAATCGTACGACGCGTCGATTCCCTTGATCACAAATAATGAGACTGTCAGTCTCTTTGTCGGTCAATACATCCGTCGGCCATTTCAACTGACCCAATGGATTGTCTTTATTCATGCCACCTGCAACGACTCGTCCAACCTTATCACCCACTTTCCATTGTATAATACGATGATTTCCAAAGTCAGCAATGGCCATCGTTTGATCATCGTTAACAAAGAGACCTTCAGGCAGCTGAAGTCGATTGGTATTATCACCCCATTCGTAGTTTCCAGCAATGGTGACTCCACTCTGTTCCCATCGAGAATTGACTGCACTATTCAGCATGACTTAAATCAAAAGATGGAATGAATCAAATATTAATTTTTGTCATCTCTTAAAATGGAAAGGGAGAAATATCTCGTGAAAACCACGTAGCGGAAGGGTGCGAGTGTGGGTTTATATTGTCATGTTCAGTGAGACTATGGGTATGTATCAAGATATGGTTTACATCCAGCTATGTCAAGTTTTACATCTACATTGGAAAGCAATGCTTTTATATGACAAAAAACCCGCTTATTTGAGGGCTGATTTGATAGTTGGTGCACATCTATCGAGAGAGGCAGCTTTATCTCAGGAAGTACATTGGAATCTCCTTGACGAACGAGTCTGAAAAAACCTAAAATGAGGACCTAGAGTGTGACATCAAGAGTATTTGCTAATCATATTTTATCTTACCAAGAACTTCTGAAGCATCAATTCTGTCGAAAATTTGTAGCTCAATTATTGTTCTCGTAGTAAGTTTAAAACGTGTAACTTCATATCTGAAAATGCTTGAATGACAGAATTCGTGATCCTATAAATGATTCTAGAAAATTCTGTGATGAAGTACGTAGTTAATAAAGGAAACATTCGAACTTGAAAAGAAATTATTGTGGCCTGTAAGCCTCAAATCAGAATGATGTCAAACTTTGACTACTTAAAGCGACAAAAACTACTTCTGCAGTTATTAGTAGATCTTGGATAACACCTGTCAAATTAATTTTTTTAAGTGCTAAATTCCACATTGTTCAAATTTGACGTACCTAATTTCGGTTCAGATGTTGATTTTGACAGATCTGTATTTGGCTTGGTAGCAGTCGTAGTGGATTTGACTTGCTGTGACTTTGGTAGGCCTAAGACAAAATAAACAAGAGCATTTTTATCTGTACTCTGAAAAAAAAGGAGGTTTGCAGAACCCCTCAAAAAGGTTCTGTAGATTTCTAAAAGCATCCAAATGTGTCCAAAGTCTCAAAAAACGGATAAAAAATTCGACAGA